AAGTCAAGAACTGACATCACAGCACTCAGGGCATTCCCATGAGTGCTCCATCCTCATCTTCAGCAGCCAGCGCAGAGTTCCAATACTGATGGCACTTGTGAAAATCTGATTTTGCCTTTCCTCTGAGTAATCTGGTAATCCTAGTTTTAGCTTTATAGCAAACGGGTCACCCCATAGTTGCTCCGCTCCTGTGCCAACAAAAAATACACGTAGCTCACAGTGTCACAACATGCACTCAATTTAGAAGCTGGGTGACGAAACTATATCCTTCCAGTCTATAAATGGAGCAAAAATGTAACAGCCACCATCTGGCAGAAGACAACAACAACAAAACATTTGCCACGGCTTAAAAAAAAAGGGTGACATGCCTAGCGTCCATTTTGACCTGAAACATTATATGAGGGGTAATAAACAGTCACCCCAGCAGTACCCTCACTATTAGCTGGGAAAGGGACTTAGGAGATTACATCCACCAGCAGGTGTTGCCCCTACAAAGACCTGCCTGCTTTCATTAAAAACTGTTCACCCAACAGCAATGCAGTTATTTGGCACGAAGGTGACACCTTGAACTTGGGTTTCGGACTGTCGACTCCCTACAAGATGTTATTTTATATCACAATCGACGTCACTGCACATTGGGCATACCCATGCGTGCTCAGTCCTCCGAAGCAGCAGCCACTCCAAAGTACTTCTACTAATTGTTGATATCTGCTCTGTCCATGCTTTTTTTTACAATCATTAGTGCAGTGCTTGCCAGTTGGTCCGCTCGCTCATTTCCCTTTACGCCTGCATGACCCGGTGTGTAGATCCAGGTTACGGAGGTTAAGTGCGATTTCCGAATGCTTTCTATCCATTCAGAGCACATACTGCCTGTTGCTATCTTCTGAAGCATATTCATTGAGTCTGAGACAATTACTGCCTGTGTGGTGGTTTGCTCAGATACCCATGCTAAAGCTCTAGAAGCAGCGACTATTCCTATGGTCATGCTTGACATGGTTGTCTGGTAAGCGCCGCTGTCCACGTGTATTATTTTCCCCCTGAGTGTAGTGAGCTGGCCAGACCCTCTGGTTACACCCAGATCCCTCATTCTCTCCAGGCCATAATAATCTTCTATCTCTACTAATTTGATTTTAGATATATGTTTGTGAACTTTAATTTAAAGATTCAAATGTTCATGAAACACATCAAAGGTTAATTTTATTTTACTGCAATGGGTAAAGTCAGAATTCTTCTATTGTATTTCTACATTTCATCCTCCAAATAATATTTCCCTGAATTTTATTAGTTTTTTGTGTGTGGGTAAAATTGTTGTTTTCACATAATTTTTTTAAGGAATTCCCATAGGGTCGTGACCCATTCGTTATTATTGTCTTGCCAAAAAGGCTAAGTTCAAAGATCTTAGTTGGCACACACTATACATCTTTTGCTTCTACAAATACTAAAAGTTAAACAGTCTGACTCCCTGTGTGGGTTCGGGAGCCCTATTATAGGGAAAAAAGAATAGGCCCACTGCCTACCCAAAAGCATGTCATAAAGTCGACTAATTGGGAGCTTTCTTCGAAGTTCAGAGTGCATCTGCCTGAGAGGCAAGGAACCAACAGTCTGCATACAAATGAGTCAGATCTGTCAAATGGATGCAACCCCCAGGTTCTAAAACAGGACTGCAGTCCAGAAGTGGACGAACAACAAGAACTTTCTGCCGGAGTTTACAGCCGGTGAATGCAAAAAAAGAAGAAACAATTTGACAAGAAGAAACACAGTGGTGAAAAAGAGCAGTATAATGACAATATGAAGCATGAGATAATCAAACACTGTTTGAATAAAAAAGAATAGACAACATAATTTTTTTTAATATTTTTGAAAGAACATTTATGACACTAAATCTAGGCTCCAGTATAAATAACAGGGCAGAGTGAACAACATAAATTCTGCTGCTCAAAAAGCAAAACTTACGTGCCTGTCTGCTGCACAGGATGCATGTAACAGGACACAGTTGCTGGACAATTCATGATTTAAAAGACTGTGTGTGCACACATGTGTGTGTGAGGTCTATGACTGGCTGACAGGTCCAGACAACATCTTTTGGATGTGCAGAACGCTGATCTAAAACCAGTACTATGCACCTGTTTTTCCAGGATCACTAAGGTGTCCATGACATAGAGGTGACAGCCATTAAATCTAGCCGCTCTAGCTAGAGAGTCCACAAGTTTTTGAAAAATCACTTTATTTTTCCCTTGGGCACGCTAACACCCAGGGGACTGAACTGTCAAAACAGTTTCATTTAAAATTATTGAGTTATGGCCCTTTCTATTCCATAGCTATTTATTCTCGGGCCCAATGTATCTCTTCATTCCACTGGCAAGACATCAACATGGCTGCTTTGGAATACATCAGGTAAGTGATTTTTGTGTATTTGTGTAGTTTTGTTTGATTTATGTATGTGCTGATGAAGGGTATATAGCCACAATGTTCATGTTTTGTTTCTGTTTGTTATATTGTGAAGCTCACTGATCTACATTTCATTCCCTTTTACATCTTTTCGGGATATTTAGTAAATAAGAGCCAGAGATAGAGAAATACTGAGAGAGAGAGAGAGAGAGAGAGAGAGAGAGAGAGAGAGAGAGAGAGAGAGAGAGAGAGAGAGAGAGAGAGAGAGAGAGAGAAAGAAAGAAAGAAAGAGTGTGTATATAAGTATTATTAGGGGTATTCTGCAAAACTCTGCATTATAAACCTATTAAAATTCACTGCATACAAAATTTTTGCAGAAAATAAGGCCTCATTATTTAAAAAAAAAGAAAAGATTGTGGCCCACACAAATACAATCAAGTCCTCCAGAACAGTAGAGAGAACAATTCTCATGTAAGTGAAAGTTTACAAATATCTTAACACGCTTTAAACAACAGATGTACTGGGTCTCCTTGACCTATTGGCAAGTTCCATTCAGTTAACAGGTCATAAGATGAACTAGTGGTAAGTGTAATTTTTATTTTTTAACACTATTTTCATTCAAATAGGGTAAACAAATGGTACATAAAACACAAAAATGAAATCTATGTACATGTAATTTGATTATTGTACATAGACATCTATATACTCTTCTTCTTTGTTCAGTGGCTGTAAGCTCTGGTGAAAAGTCCTAGTTATTCACCCATTTGGACTTTGGCTTTATGCCAGGACTTCAGTTTTGCCTGCACGTCTGTTTTACTGGCCAATTTGTGTGCGGTTGGTTGTTTCTTGCCGCTCAGGCAGATGTACTCTGACTTCAAAGGAAGTCCCCAATTAGAGACTCATATGACATGCTTGTTGGGGAGGCGGTGGGTCTATTCTTGTTTTCTTAACAACGGAACACACACAGGGAATCTATATGCACTCTGGGCATTAGTTCCAATAACTTTGTGATCCTACCAATGTAGTTATTATTCTTTGTTTACTATTTTTTAATTTCTTTGGTGCAGATGGTCAAAATTGGCAAAGGTCATAGGCTGAGCAGACGGTGTAATATTATGTAAATAATGTAAATAAAGGAAAGAAAATCAACTTCACTGCATCAGGTTTTATCCCATATGGCTCAGTCTCCCTCTGAAGAATAGCTGTGTTTGCCAAAAAGCTATGCACAAAGCAAGAAACTAATTTCTGTGACCCGTTTCCCCCCCCCCCCCCCCCCCCCCCCCCCCCCAACCCAAAAGCACTCTTCCAAAAAAATCTGCAATTACAAACCAGTGAACATATCTAAAATCAAACTCAAGACCTTCAGATGTAGGACAAATGGCTTTACTACTTTACCATAGAGAGAACCCTCAAGGTGTCTTGAAAACAAATAACAATTATTTTCAGATTCCACAATAAAGATTGACTATAGTCAAACAGAATGGAAACACCTTATGGTCAGGCTAGAATCTCTTCCATAGTGCGACTCTCTTACCACTGTTCGAAAAATCACAAAAATGTGTTTTTTTTAACCATCCACCGCATGGGACAAAACCTAGTACTATGAAATATTAACAGCATTCTAAGCTCTAAGTTCCTAAAATCCTGGAGTAGTGTACAGACACCTAGCCTACTTAGATAAGGAGGAAAAACTAGAAAAAAAGTGAATGCCTGTTAAAGACGTTTTTGAAAAAAAATCTTTCACATTTTATAAATCAAAAGCAGCAGTTGAAATAGGTCACTGCTCATACTAAATTCAACCAAACTCCTCATGAATGAATACTTGTTTATACATATCACTGAATATTTGCTGGTGATGCAGAAGTTGTGTAGTGTGGATTCTCTTTGTTATCTTCAGGCGAAATGGAAGTACTTTGGAGGGCAAAGTAGTTGATGGGTAATAGTGGTACTGTGTGTGTATATAATATGCATGTGTGTGTGTTTGTGCCTGAAACTATTTACAATGTGAGTAGAAACCTCCCATTTGGGACTGTGTCTTATTAGGGATTTTCCTCTGAAGTTGACAACCGTCTGCAAAGGTTTGAGGTTTAAACAACGGATCGACATCGTAGCACACGGGTAGTAACCCATATGTGCTCTGTTCTATTTCTAACTCAAGTCTGAGTCCAAAGTAGCTCATCGCAGTGCATGTGTATCCTGAAATGTTTTGGATAGGTTTTTAACTTAAAATTTTGCATGGGCAGCGCCGTTAGGCTACTCTTTTCAATTTCCAGGAGATTTTTTAACATGCGCAAAAATACGCATGGGCATTCGATCTCACTACCCAGAGACCAGGGGAAATTACTACTAAGTCCACGTGAACAGAAAAAATCACAGTCTTCACCAGGGCCTGAACCTGGGACCTCTAGCACCATATCTCGAGGCCACTCAGCCCCTAACCGTCTGCAGATGTGACCAGGAACCAACAGTCTGCATACAAGTAAGCCAGATATGTAGAATGGATATGTCTGCAAAATTTACTAAAGTCCAGAAATGGATGACCAACCAGAACTTTCTGCCAGAGTTTACAGCCAGTGAATGTTAAGAAGAAGAAAAGTTTACTATAAATATACCATGTGCATCTCTGTAGTATGCTCGTGTAATGCTACGAAATCTTTCCTGTCCTGCTGTATCCCAAATCTGAAACACAGCAAATATCAAATAGGGGAGTAAATCACTGATTAAGAAGTTTAATAAATATACACACAAGAAAAAGTGGACACTTTGACCACAGTCTTTATCCCCCCCCCCCCCCCCAAAAAAAAAAAACCACCAACATCAAAAGGGACAAAGTATCCTGGTCGCCAGTCCCCATACAGGAGTGAATAACTATAAAGTATAAGAGAAGAAAAAAGAATGAATCAAATGAATGAAGAAGTGAGAATAGTAATAATAATAATAGTAATTATAAAGTGGTAATAATAGTCATAGTAGCAGTGGAAATAATTTAGCTCTTGTCAAAACCTCCGAATTGTCTTGTGTGTGTGTATTGTTCCCCTTTCCCGCTTTGTGAGTCTTCTTAGTCATAGTTCAGTTGAATAATCTCTTGGTATAGCTTGATTGTTTTCACCCTTGTTTTCTTCCTAAGTAAATCATTGTAATATCATTCACTCAAAATAGATTATCTACATCTGCAATGTTGTCTCTAGTATGAACTTCACCATCTGTTGTAATTCACTCAGCAATCCATAAAGGTTTGGCTTGCACCGATGTTTCTCTTGAACAAAAGTTTAACCTTGATATGTTCTTCCTCGGATAGTCCTTGAGGATATGATCTGTTGTCTCAGGTGCTAATCAACATGTACACATGGCTGATTCACCATTCTTAAATTTTGTGTACGTGTGGCTGCGCAGTCAATTATTTCCTGTTCTAAGACAGACAATAATGACTTACTCTTGTCTGACAATAATATGGTATTTGTCTTGTGCCAGTTTTGGTGGCTTTCTGATTGATTTGATTATTCTTTTCTGTTGATAAGAGACTGGTACGTCTGGCTGTTCTTCATTTGCATCTTCCTTAGCTAGTTTATCAGCTCTTACATTTCCGGGAAAAATATAATGAGATGGTATCCATGCACAGCTACCTTACACTGGTTGCCTAGTATGGAGAGTAGTTTCTATACACTAGGTAATTTTCCACATTCAAGTGTCTGAAGTAACAGTTGTTTTATATGGCTCTGAAACTTGGAGCACAACTAAAAGAGATGAAGCCTTAATACAGGTTTTCTAAAACAGAGTCTTACGACGAATCTTTGGACCCATAACAGATGCAAACAGCACTAAATGGAGAGTGAGAAGCAATGATGAAATTCATAATTTGTTTAAAGCTAATAGACTGAAAAGGTTTGGGCATACTAAAAGAATGTCTGTTGGCAGAGAAGTAAAAACTGTATACACAAGGGAGACGAATGGTCGTAGACCACAAGGCAGACTGAGAAGAAGATGGAGAGATAATGTCCAGACAGACCTGCAAACACTTGGTGTCACCAAGCAAACACATGGTGTCACCTACTGAAAAGAGAAGGCAAGTCACAGAGATGAATGGAGGCGGGTAATGAACTTCAAGGGCTCGGAATGCTGAAGAAGAAAAAGAATTGTTTGAAGTACCATTCTTGCAATTGTCAGAAATAACACGGGTTGTGAAATGTGACATCTTCTTTTTGAAGTCTATGCAGTGTAGCAGAAGGTGAAGAAGAGTCTTGTTTATAACTTGGTGATGGGAGTCAATAAGGGACCCACATCCTGCACACACCAAAGAAAGCTCAAGAATATTCTTTAATTCACTGACATATCTATTGAATTTCTTGTTTTTCTTCCCCACTTGCTCTTTTACCATTTCAGTGTCAAGAAAGATATATGGCTCTGCTTCTAACTCTTCTAGCTGCCTCAACTACACACATATTATGCTGCTGTAGAGTTTTTATGATGCTATCATTCCATTTGTTCTGGTCTACCTCATGTTCTATACCCCTCTATTTTTATCAGAATGGGAGTCTTTATATACAATGTCTAATGTTAACAGACTGAATCTGTTGAAAACAATGCACACAAAAATTCATAAAGATATAAGCAGGCAAATATATTACCTGTAATTTAACCTTGGTTCCCTCAACATCAACTACTTTATTCTGCAATGACACAAAAGTAAAAAGTCAGTTACAAAAATTCTTTGTTGAGTTATACAAGGTGTTTGTAAATTGTTACTACACTTTGTATGTATAAAAAAATGTGAAAAACTAAGAAATGCTCTTTACAGTCAAAAGCAATATGCAGTGAATGGCTCTCATCTGCTGGAGTAATTCTTTGCACTCAAAACAGAATGATGTTTACAATGGGAACAATCAGTATTACCGTTCAAAAAATAATAACAGATATGTTGCAGAAGGTATTTGAGAATGTGAAGAGAAGTGTACAATCATGTCTTGAAGCCCGTGATAGACATTTTCAACACTGTGTCATAATAAATATACCATTGATACATTCCAGCTTGCCAAAAAACAGCATTAGACTAAAGCTGTGACTATTGTAACTAATTTAATGACTTTTTAGCACATTTTTTGATGATGTCATATACTTGGGTTTTTCAGATCTGTTTAGCATACAGAGTGTCCTTAGATTTTGTTTAGTTACTTGGTTAGCTGAGTTATTATCATTGCATTCGGGTATGTCCACAGGTTCTCAGATCCTTCCCTCAATATGAACCCAGCATTATGTGACTAATAGTGCCAGTTCTTTGTCAATCGATAAGTCTTTTTGTTTGCCCTGTGTGTTGATCTTAACTCCTCAGTCTTTCGTTCTGATGAGAATGGGGAATCACAGTCTCCAAAGTCCTCCACCCTTCCTGCTTCTCTAAGGGCATTAATAATTTCAGCATGATCTATGGGTTGACCTTTAGCAATGACAGTGGATCCAGGCAAATCATCACCCCTTTTGTTTCCATCGATGCTCGTGTTCTCCGGAATGAAGATAAAGATGACGTTACACACACAGTGGACTTCTGTGGACTTTATGAACACCCAATATAAGCACTCTTCATGGTGGAGTTGTTAAACTATTTGCATTATACTCTCACAGTTTTTTAAACATTTCTTGAGGTTGTCGCTGAAGCTGTAAGCCAGCAGTGGGTTTTGATCGCGGTACGATGGGATTACGAGTCGGACTCGCAACGCCTAAGCCACGAACGCCGCCACTGAAGCTGTGGTGTTTTTATATTTGTGTTCACTTGCTGTAAACTCCAGCGTTTAAAGTCCTGGTTGTTCCTCCATTTCTGAACTTTGGCTGTGTTACAGGATCTGAGATTTGCATGTGCATCTGTTTTACAGATCTGGCTTATTTGTTTGCAGACTGTTGGATCCTTGCAGATGCGCTTCTACTTCAAATGAAACACCCCTAATAAGTCGCCCTGTATGACATGTTTGTTCAAGGAGGGGGGAAGGCAGTACAACTATTCTTGTTCCCCCCTTTAGGGACCTGGAACCTACATGGGAACATGGAATCCACATGGGAACTTGGAACCCACATGGGGACCTGCAACCAACATGGGAAGCTATAGTGTTTGTGCACTGTGTTCTTAGCAGGTGGCTATCTACTCTGTGGAGAAAGACTGAGCCAGATGGGATAAAACACAGTACAATGAAGTTAATCCTTTGACCTGTAACCAGTGTCGGGTTCTATTAAATGTGCAGCTGGTTGTTAAAGAAAAAAAAAGCCACGAAGAGACAAAAAGAAGGATGTTTTTTGCTCCATAGCATTGGTAGAACAAGAGTACAGTCCTGATCCATAATTCTGGTGATTGTACAAGATGGCTAACCATAAATGCCTAAGATTATCTGCATAGAATATAATGATGACTTGGGTACCCTGATAACAGCAGATGGAAGATGTATTAAAGAAGTTAAATGTAAAATAGCTCACGCAACGGCAGAATTTTACAAAATGAAGAATTACTGATTACCAACTTAAGAATCAACGTCATAGGACACAGGGTATACTCAGAGGTGCTCTGTCTCCAGCAGCAAATGTCTAAAGGTGTAGATGCTAACAGTTCCCATAGCCCACTGATTATAAAGTCTCATGATCCCCTAATTGCCTGATCCATACCTGAGTCCTCGTTCACACATTCTTACACAAAATAAAGCATATTTTAAGCAATTATTTCTTCGTCACTTGAAACGAGAAAGATAATTTTGAAGCACTATATAAATCCTATCCTGATATATGGAGGTGAAACATGGACAGTTTGGATGATTAGTGAAAAGTGATGATTAGTGGAAGCTGCAGGGGTGTGGTTTATATACGAATGATGAAAATATCCTGGACAGATACAAAAAAGTAATGAAAATGTCTTGAAGGAAACTGACTCATGGAGAAAACTGACTGCCGATATAAGAAAAAGAAATTCTATATTCTGTAGTCTTATAATAAGAAAGAACAAATTGGAGTACCTTGTGATTGTAGGACAGTCGGAGGGGAAGAGAGGCAGAGGGAGATTGAGAGAAAAGATGCTGAGCAGTCTGATATCATGGCATACAAGATCATACATGTCAAAATTGATAGAAATTACATGAGACAGTACGATGTGGATAGACATGACTACCAACGTCACTTGGCATGGATTATGGAAGATCACCTGTGTCAGAACTGATAGAAAGCATACGAGACAGAAGGTTGTGGAGAGACATGACTACCAATGCCCCACAATAAGGACTGTAAGAAGATCTACACACATGTGTCCATTGTATGAGGACCACAAAAGTGCATGGGCATTTATTGCATGCTCTGATCGCAGAACAGTCCAGGAAGCTAGTGGTGCCTTCTACTAGCAACATGACAATGGGTGTGATGGCAGTAACACAAGCTTTCATGTGGCTAGCATAACGGGGTTATTCTCACGTGTGTGCGCTGAGTGATTCCATGAGCATGATATGGTGGGTCAAGGGGGACTTGGTGTCCAGACAGTGGATCGAGTCATTGCAAAACTCTAATGTGCATGGAATTACCTTCGTCTTTGTACCAGGGTATGCAGGTGTTGTTCGCAATAAAAGAGCCAATAGATTAGCCGGCTCTGCCTTAGTTACAGAGGACCAGCCCATGGAACATTGTTAATGCTATTAGAGAGGTAGGACGTTCTGAGGATTTTGGGAGCAGCACTTTGACATCTTTGCTAAGAGCACGAGAATTGGGAGTAAAGATTGGCACAGCCAGGCACGAGAAGCACACCCGGTGAACAAGAAGGCTTATCAACCAACTTATGCCTGGGACTATGAACTGCCAGACGCTGATGTAAATGTCGAAGGGGAGATTTGAGCACCTACAGACGAGTCTGGAGTGCTGTGAAGATAACCCTAAATCATAAATCAAGAAGAAGACAGATGATGGTAACTTTTCTCCTCCTCTATTTATCCCAGAAAAGTCTAACAGAATTGTTTATTACCAATTTTGGTTTCCTCCAGAAATATTTCGTTTTTAATTCCCAACAAAGTAGTAGTATTTGTAATTTTTTTTTAAATATCCTGTTCAACTCTCAGGGTTTTAATTGGGATATATAGTGTTAACTGAGTTCTCAGAGTATATATTTGTTATTTTAAATTTATATATTATTTATTATTCAAATGACTAAAATAAAATTTTTATTGTTTCACATTTTGCTTTGATTCGTCTTGTGATTATGATATAAATTGTACTATGAATAATTAGACATTGTACTATGAATAACTGTGACATCCGTGGCTTAGGCGTTGCGAGTCTGACTCATAATTCCAACATCCCATGATCGAAACCCACTGATGGCTGTGTGGATTTTTTAATCATGGTATGGGGTGTCGCAGGTAAATCCAGCCTCAAATGGGTACCAGGATGTATGTTCTGGGGAAGTAAGGATGACCAGCATAGTCCTGACCACATTACCCATCTAGTGCCGATTGGTCTGTAAAAATATTTGCGCTCTTTCCATATGCCTGATGCACCTAAATGCCTGAAAAGGAACATTTACTTTACTTACTATAAATAATAAGACAATCTTAATAACAATGTGTCATTAGCATGTTGGATATGTTGTTTCATTAGAGTGCATTCACTGATTATTCTTCTTGATTTTATCTTCAGGGGAAACTACTTCAAAGAATCCATGGGCATTTTTTAGCCTTCTATTCATGGATTTTCTATTCTATCAACATCACAAAATGGTTTAGAAAACTTATTAACCTCACTCCAAAGAAATAGTGAAAATCATAACTTATTTCTTAACATAGCAAAAACAAAGATAATGCATACAAACAAAACTGCCATGGAGAAGGAAATATATGTTAATGAGGAAAGATTGGAAGTGGTGGAAAATTTCAAATATCTTGGGTCACTGGTTGCCAACAATGGTGACACAATGAAAGAAATTAAACGGCGACTATCAATTGCTCTTCAAAGACTAAAACAACTGAATAAATTATGGAATTGTACAGATAGAATTACAAAGGTCAGATTTTTAAGAGCATGCATCTTTCCCATTGCAACATACGCCTGTGAGACCTGGACACTTACTAAACAAGCGGAACAGCGCATAAATGCATTTGAATATAAATGTTACAGACAAGTTCTAAGAATATCTTGGGTAAAGAAAAGAACAAATGCATCCATACTTCAAGAGCTGAATATTGAAGAGGGTTGGCTAGTAAAGACAATAAAACAAAGAAAATTGAAATATTTTTGTCACTTGAAACGTCATGGAAGTCTAGAGAGAACAATAATGGAGGGGTATATGCCTGGGAAGAGAGGAAGAGGAAGGCCAAGGAGAAGATGGGTGCAGGATGTGGCAGATGATCTCCAGATGGGTGTATCAGACGCAGGACATCTTGCTCATGATAGGAAGGTTTTCCGGAGGGTTGTTATGGCAGCGAGGTTCCGCGAGGGACATGCTACTGAATGAATGAATGAATGAATTCATGGATTTTAGTCCAAGAAAAGTCCCACCAGATATCCAGAGAGAAAATATCTCTCTAATAAGGTGTTCAACTTATTATTGTTGATAACAATGGCAGCATTAGTCCAGACGTTTCTTTAATTTCTTTCCCTATCTTGGATTCGACTCATTTAATGTTTAGCAGTTTATTCAGACATTTGTTTTCAAATGCATTTAATTTTCTCCAACTTTCACCGACACTTAGTTACAACTGAAATGAAAATAGAATTGAAAAACGTAGCTTGGTTTTAAAACAGTACAAGTTGCTTGTCAATGCAGTTTGGATTTTTGTTTTAGACAAAAGATATGAATAAGCCAGACAGGGAATGTAACTCTAATCCAATTCAGCATCATGAAATACCAGCTTAGATATTGTCGGATTTACCTACCTTTGTGTGGCATTAAATGCTACACAGTTGTGTGTGTGAGTGTTGGAAATTGATGCATAATGTTTCTCTGGATTAGTGTAAGTGATGTGTGATAAACCCAGGATTATTTGCATCAAGGAAGCGTACTTTTTGCAATAATAAATTTACATTTCATGCTTATGTGATATAAGAAAGCAAGAAATTGTAATTTCCTGTGTGACCAATTGAACGATAAGGCCAAACAGAGAGATGAATTGGAAGCAGGTTATATCTGCGGCAATGAACCTCAAGGGCTCGGAATGCTGAAGAAAAAGAAATGGTAATTGTAGCTGCTAGCATGGGTGAATAGTGTGACAAGTTTTAATATAGTAATTATTACCTTTCTGTGTCATTATTTTATTATCTTTTTTTTAATTTTCTTGGTTTGGACATCTGGTCAAAATGGAAAAACAAAAACAGCCAGCAGATAGAGCATACTACAGGAAAAAAGCAGGCTACAAGTCAGGAAAACAGACGGGTGGAGGGAGAAATTCAGTATGACATTAACACAAACTACACAACTAGCAGAAGACACAAAAACTAGTTAATTCCCCTCAGTGACACTTTATGGCTTCAGCAGTAGCACAAAGAAAGAAGATTATTTCCCCTAAAAATATATCCCCACTAATTCTTAACTGGAGAACCAAGCCAGAGCTGTGGTGGGATAGTTATCTGCCGGTCAACATTTCTTGTGCCCAAATCTACTTGTATGTTGTATTCTTTTTTTTGGAAAAGGGGGGGGGGGTCGATCTAGGCTTTTCAAGTTGTAAAAAATAGTAAAAGACCCTTTTCCACGCCTTTAGGTGTATAGGGCATATAGGGCTAGAACTATATTTTTATACACCAGTCGGCACAAGATGGGTAATGAGGTCAGCATCACGCCGAAAGTAAAGATCCCTTGTCACACCTTTAGGCGCACTGGGTATAAGGGAAAAGCGCCCATATTTTTTCAACCATCGGCACTAGGTGGGTAATGTGGTCAGCATTATGCCTGCCGTCTTTACTTCCCCAGGACATCCATCCTCGCACCCATTTTTGGCTGGGTCGACAATGCCACGATAAAAATCCATGCAGTTTCCAAGTTGACCCAACCAAAAAATGGATATCAGAAATGTCCTGGGAAACCTTTGTCTGCTTCTTCTTATCATTTCCCAGTGGTAAATCAAAAATAGTGGTCCCCATGTGGGGTGCAATTTTTCGTTATTTGAAGCCCCATCCTGGCTTCTGCAAGGGCCCTGAATATAGCTGGGCCATAAATTTGGCCGAATGCCTGAAAGAGGTTTCTGGGACATCTCCACGGGTGATTCTCATCTGCATGGTAACACTTTGTGCCACCGGGTGTTTATCACTTGTGTGATGTCCTGGTGGGGTATAATATAAGAGAGAGAGAGAGAGAGAGAGAGAGAGAGAGAGCAAGAGAGAGAGAGAGAGAGAGATAAAGCTATTGCCAGAATTAACCCAGGGTTAAGCTTCTACCTGCAGTAGGCAAAAGTGATTCTAGCTGGTTATCCACTTTAGGACTTCATTTTGAGTGCACATTTGTTTTACAGATCTGGCTATTTATTTGCAGACTGTTAGTTCCTCAACTCTCCGGCTTAATATAGCATGAAAGAATGTGCAGTATATATTTGTTGTGTGTTCATTATCTAAATTCACAATAGGAAAACATTTTGAATGCCATACATTTTCTTTTAATATGCAAAGCAAAAACTTCGAGTCTATACTGACATATCAACAACAATAACAACAAAATCAAATAATTATTCCAATCATCCAATACAACTCCCTCAGTAAACAAACATACTTACCCAAACACACATTTCATGCAACCAACCAACCTACCAACAAATCAGCCAAGTCATCGGACAAAAAAAAAAACATTAAACTACAAAAAAATTTCACCTAAATAACTAAACCAATGACCAACCCATCCACTACATACCTATCATCACACATACCTACCCTCACATACCTACCCTCACATATACCAACCCTCACATAACTACCCTCACATCTCACATACCCACCATAACATACCTACCCTCACATTCCCTCCCTCACATACCTACCCGGAAGTCTATGCCCACAGTGGAGATAAAGCTCCCAGACAAAAACGTTCCATCCTTGAACCTCACCAGCAGACAGGTCTTGCCCACACCGCTGTCACCAATCAACATCACCTGAGATGAGAGGCATTAGAGAATATTGCGATGGCTGGACACATTAACGGTAGAAGAGGCAGATCAAGAGAGGCAATGATTGATGGTCTGAAGTGATAAAATGGGGGAATATTATCAGTGGAATGTTTTCAAAATACAAAGGACTGACATCTGTGAAGGGACATAAGTGTCTATGCTGCTGGGCAAGGCACATGATGATGATGAAGAACAATTTGTGGCAAATATGATCAACACATTCCTGAGTAAAGTAGTAAATTTACATGTTAAAACAATCAAATACAGAGGTTCTGAAGTGATGAATGAACAGTGAGTTGTTGAAGGAAATGAATCAATCAAATAGAGAGGTTCTGAAAAGATAATGAATAGAGAGTTGAAGGAAATGAATCAATCAAATAGAGAGGTTCTGAAGAGACAATAAATGAATAGAGAGTTGTTAAAGGAAATGAATCAATCAAATAGAGAGGTCCTGAAGAGACAATAAATGAATAGAGAAGGAAATGAATCAATCAAATAGAGAGGCTCTGAAGTTACAATGAGTGAACAGAGAGTTGATAAAGGAAATGAATCAATCAAATAGAGAGGTTCTGAAGAGACAATGAATAGACTTGTTGAAGAAGATGAATCAATCAAAAAAAGAAGTTCTGAAGACACATGAAATTAGCAGAGAGTTGTTGAAGGAAGTAAATAAATCAAATAGAGAGGTTCTGAAGACACTGGAAATGAATAGAGAGGAGTTGATGAAAATGAATAAACTGAAAGTGAATATATTTCTGCACATTAAAATTCTATACTGGAGGGAAAAGTTTAGGACAAGAGAGCAAAAAGTGGACAGTCATACAAATTGGAGGGCAACATAAAGAGATTGATGAATAGCAGACTAAGAGAGTATACAACCAAGACAGGGGACAAAGAACTGAAGATTTTTGGCAGGAAACCTTCACTGTGGAGAAGGCACATGACTGACTGATGTTAAACTATGCAGAAATTTAAAAAACGACAAAAGCAGATTTTCCTTGATATTTAAGGTAGCCAGCATCCTGTTGACCACATCAGTTGAATGTTTAATTAGGAATCAACATCACATCACTTAGGACATTCCCATAAGCATTCCATCCCCATCTTCAGTAGCAAGTGCAGAGTTCCAGTTATGATGACACCAGTAACAGCCTGTTTGTGTATCCGTCTCAGCTTCTCCTTGAGTGTTGAGCATCGGCCAGATCCGCTGGCACTCCTCGCTGCACCATTTTCCTCAGACCGTGATGATCTATGTGTGCTCCTGCACTGCTGATGTTTAACCCCACCAGAACTACATGACGAGCCAGAAACACTCAGTGACACAAAGTGTCACCATTAAGTTGAGAATCACTCTGGAATAAGTCCCAGAAACCCTGTTGAACACGTAGGTTATGCACTGCTCAACTGCTCACTGGCATCTAATGGATACATACAACATCTAGCTCATCCTCTTCATTCATTTAAAGCAATTGGTCTATGACTACATGAGTTTAACTCTTTGAGTCCCAAGGAACACATCATACTTTCATAGATTCCTACCTAGAAGCCCAATGAACGCAAGATGCGCCGATTTTACGTCTATCTTGACTACCCCTTGGGCCTGTGATGCTAAACTTCCTGGGACTCAAAGAGTTAAGACAAAACACCTTATCTGTCATTGTTGTAAAACAAGTGTTTTTCCTAACGATAAATTTGTATCTTTCTGTCTTCATTTCGGCTGGTTTGTGTTGCTGCTGTTTGTTCATTTCTCATTTATCAGTCAGTCAGTGAGTCTGAATTAGCCATATTCAGCCTCCACCTAGGGAACTAGCCTCTCCTAGGTAGTTTTTAGTTATTATTGTGGCTTTGGATAGTGCTGCTATTTCATTGTGTGTTTCATGGAGTTTGTGGTTCAAGCCTCTTAAGTCTTTTCCATTTTATGTTGCTGAGCAAATAACTGTCGTCTTAGATTTGCTGCTGTTTGTTCAGTCTTGTTTGTGGTTGTACTCTTGTTTTAGTCATTCAATAATATTTTCTAACTGCTTGAACTGTGTTACCGTCTTCTCCAATTTTGTTGATTTATTACAATAGTTCTATTGATTTGTTCTATATTACTTGTCTGAAGCCGCGTTGTTTCTGTAATGATTTCCATACCAGGTTTTTCCATAGGTTTTTATTTAACTTAATTTTTTGCAGTTATTGCTTATCTTCGGCGAGAATTCAGTATTATTTCAACCTGTTTTTTTATTGACCATATCAGCCACAGAATACTTTCTGGTCTATACACATACAGAAATGTTGGTACATCCTTTTCAGTCTGCATAAAAATGGGTAGAGATTGCAGCTAACAAGGCCCGTTGGTGGTTAAGGCAGAAGTTCAAACCTCAATTCTTGAAAATTCTGTCAAGAGGTGCAGTTATCCACAGTGAAGGATACGCTATTCGACATGTACAAAGTTTATTGGCTTTTACAACTATGATTCAAGGGAAAACTGTTAAAGAAGATAGTGGGGCTTTTGCCTTGACTACAAGTAGTATGACTATGGGGGGTAACAAAAGCAATGATGTAGCTAGAGACACAGCAATTTTCCTGTGCATGCTTTCTAAGTGATTCCATGAGCAAGCTAATATAGAAAGAGAGAGGACTAATTCGAAGATAATGGTTGGAGTCATTGAGGATGTCTGATCTCAAAGGAATTAGTTTCATTTTTGTGCCGGGACACTCTGGGGTAAGAGGGAATGAATGAGCGGATTGGCTTGCTGGCAGAGCCATGATAGGTACAGTGAAAGCAATGAACCGGGCCGACATTCTCATTGCTTCCGAGGAGTCAGGACGAGAAGATGATTCATGAAATGACGCTGAATCACCAACACTCAAAAGACTACAAGAACTTCAGGTCAAAAAGAGTTGTCACCATTCACATAAATACTATACAGGTAGCCAAAGAAGAATAGTAAACCAAGACAGAACTGGTGTTATCAGTCGTCACATGCTGAGGGATATACTGCAGATGGGATCCTAGTGCTTATGAACCAGTCCGATGTGCACTGAGGATAACCTTTTGATTAACTAACTAACTAACAAACACATATGGAACCAGCATCCTATGACCAACAGAATTCAAGACATGGAAACACATCCCGTACTTATATTTCTTTTCTTTTTCAGATCATGCTGCCTTCTTAACATTTTTTTTCTCAGCTGTTTGTTTTATTTATTTATTTATTTATTTTTCAAATAATTTAGCTCCAATTTTTTTTTAGTTCAGAAATTAATTTATCTGCCCCATTTTGCTTACCTGTGTGGTTAAAAAATAATGAATCTCTGCCATGTTGCTTACCTTTGTGGTGGTTACAAAATAATGAATCTCTGCCATGTTGCTTACTTTTGTGGTGGTTACAAAATAATGAATCTCTGCCATATTGCTTACCTTTGTGGTTATAAAATAATGAATCTCTGCCATGTCACTTACCTTTGTGGTTACAAAAAATGAATCTCTGCCATGTCGCTTACCTTTGTGGCTACAAAATAATGAATCTCTGCCATGTTGCTTACCTTTATGGTTACAAAATAATGAATCTCTGCCATGTTGCTTACCTTTGTGGTTACAAAATATTGAATCTCTGCCATGTTGCTTACCTTTGTGGTTACAAATAATGAATCTCTGCCATGTTGCTTACCTTTGTGGTTACAAATAATGAATCTCTGCCATGTTGCTTACAAAATAATGAATCTCTGCCATGTTGCTTACCTTTGTGGTTACAAATAATGAATCTCTGCCATGTTGCTTACCTTTGTGGTTACAAATAATGAATCTCTGCCATGTTGCTTACCTTTGTGGTTACAAAATATGAATCTCTGCCATGTTGCTTACCTTTGTGGTTACAAAATAATGAAAGTCAATGTCTTCCGACAGGAAGGAACATCTGTCTTGTCTAACCATTGGCCGACTGAAGGTAATAATGTAGCTTGCCTTCAGGCCCCTGTCTGTCATTGACTCTGTAGGGAGATAGGGGACAGTGGGTTGTTGCCTTTCTTGTGACAGGTGCACCTGGCCATAAACATATCTTGTCGTTACAGAATACATTACATCAAGGATTTGCCATGCTTAACGAATTGTCATCATCATCAGGTGCCTTGCCAACTGGCATGGGCGATCATGCCTCTCCATAATTTGCAATCTCTTGCAGCATGTATTAGTTCATGTGCTAACACACTTCCATGCCATGCAACAAAACTGTCAAGAATCTTCTCTCGTTGTCTTCCTCTATCCCTCCTTCCACAGATTTTTCCAGGGGTCACAACATGTTCCATTTTCCTTCTTCTTATAGCATGACCAAAAAATAAAGGCTGTCTCCTTCAGATGTCTGTGATAAGTTGTCTTTAGGCTCCCACCTCTTTCAAAGCCTCTTAGTTGCTTTTTTTGGCCATCCAAAATATTTTAAGCATTCTTCTGTAAAAATACATCTCTGAGGCCTCAAGAGGCTTAACAATATATGGAAGTCAAAGGGATTTAGATTGAAGACAACATTCAGAAAATACAAGAGCAACATTTTAGGAATAATATTATACAACAGTGAATGTTGGAAAATGACAGCCGGAATTACACATAAATTTAAGACTTTTCAAAATAAATTTGTAAGGATAATGTAATGAATATTTTGGCCAAACAAGATCACAAATGAAGAACTGAGGAGGAAAACAGAATGTGCATCACTGGCACATGTTATCAAAGTAAGACGATGCTGATGGCTTGGACATGTTTGCTGAATGCCTAGTGACACTCTGGCAAAAACAGCTCTCCAGTGGACAGCAGATGTGAAAATAAGACGTAGACGACCTAAGGAAACCTGGAGAAGGACAATAGAACGGGGAATGAAGGAATGTAAACTGACATGGGATACCATGGGGAAAAATAGCAGGGGACCAGGCAGTAATGGAGATCACTTGTGAATGCCTTGTGTGTCAAAAGCAACTTGAAGAGGACATAGAGATAGATAGACAGAATACCTTGTTTTATTATTGATAGAGAAGACACTTAAAAACTCCTATATCTGCTCCTAAATCTTTTAGCATTAATACAGAAACATGGGAGGCTGTTGCACAAGACCAGTCTAGATCCTGTACAGTCCTCAAGCATGAAGCATCAGCCTGTCAGGCAGCAGAGACTGCACTGGCAGAGAAATAGTGATTAGTTATTAGAAAGGATTATCATCACATCACTCCGGACAGATCCATAAGTGCTCCGATCTTCTCCTCAAAAGCTCCACAAGTGTAAAACGACTGATGACACCTGTTCTGTGTTGGTTAATAAAACGTCTTGTTCCCTTAGTGAAATGTTCGTTTCTTGCAGCTCCAGGCTGCACCCCAATGTCCATCAGTCTAGACAGGGATATGGAATCATGTCCTTTGGGAAAAGTCTACAAAGTGGTTGACAAAGAAATGAAGCAGACTAGAAAGGGTTTAAACAGTGATTGGGTCCCACTGACAGATAAGAGGCAGAAGGGGAAGAAAAGAATATATCCCAACTCTCCACTCATGCATATTTATATATTAATATTTACAAGTGTGACGTAGAAAACTAAATGGACAACAGCATTCTTATTTATTTTGTTTCATAATAGGGCCCTTTATGTACACATCTTTTTTTTCCTATTACATATTTCTTGGTTTCATGGTGATCTTTATTGTTTACAAACTCTTGTCTGTTGAGTTTTTTAGTCGCAGTCTGTGTTGTGTTTAGTGTTAAAAAAGGTTTTGGTCAAACTGGTTGAAATTAGACAAAGAAGATCTGTATCCAGTCATCATCATCATGTGCAGTGCGGATAAGCATAGGCTGTCACATTTCACCATCTCGCATGATCACCAGAATCATAGATTAGATCAGTGTTCTTGTCTTGCCTCATCCATATGGCCAAGCCATCATGTGTGTTTTTTTCTTTGCCGTCCCGTGCTCCCTTTCCATACATTTTGGTCAGGTTTTACCAGTGCTTAAGTCCATTCCTTCTCACATGGCTGATTAAAAAAAAACACAAAACTGACTGTCTACATATAGCTGTTTGGATCTGTTTATGTCATTCATCTGTCTTTAAGGATCCTTCATTGGTTGCCATGGAGTTTTTTGTGCACTGCACTGAGATTTCTTCGCAAAAAACCTCACGTCTGCTGCAAGTAGAAGTTTTCATCTAAAATATGGGAAGACATCTCATCATCATCATGTGACAAGTCCCTTCACATAAACATCGCTCTCCTCTTGGTTATGTTGATTTCGTTTCCTCTTTGGCTTCACTACATCCTGCCTCTGCATCTGGCCTAACCAAGATTAAACTTGCATATTATGTGCACGTGATCATGGCTACAGATTTATAGTCATCACTTGGTTCTTGCAAACCTCTTATGTCCCATTTCATTTCATCATCTGGTGGCACTGCTATCGTCTCCAGAGCAGTTTCTGAGCAGCTTGCTAGGTTTCCTTTCACTTCCTTAAATATTCAGATATATAAATAGGATGTCAGTGGATCCTTTTGAGATATATTCTTTTCTTCCCCTTCTGCCTCTTATCTGTCAGTGGACCATAGCCCCCAACTCACTCACTTTAAACCCTTTGTAGACTTTTCCAAAGGACATGATTCCATATCCCTGTCTGATGGACATCGGGGTGCAGCCTAGAGCTGCAAGAAAGGAACATTTCTCTAGTTTCTTCTTTCGATCACTTCAATGTCTATTTGGCTTCTTCAAAAGCAAATCACACCTGATTTTTCCTTTTAATCACCTCCTTCTCTTCCCTTAGGATCTCCTGATAACCTTTCAGATACGGAAAAAGTTAATGACTGTGAGATAATCCACTAACCATCTCAGGAAACATCTGGTCATACTTATATCATAATCATATTATTAGCAGTGGCAACCACAAGATCTTGGGTTCGGATTCTGACAAAGCTGGACTTTTTTCTTCAAAAATGATCTTGGCTGTCAGGTCGGCACAGCCTTGAGTGGGTACCAGATAAAGTCCTGGAAAGTAAAGGTGGATAGTGTAAATCTGACAACATCACCAACCAAGTGCCAACTAATCCATAAAATATAGATCTAGCCCTATATGCCCAATACAACTGCAGGTGTAGAAAAGGGTCCTATATTCAAATTTTTTTTTTTTTTGGGGGGGGGGGGGGGGGGGTTGTTTTTTGTTTTACATTAATGTGGACCACATGAGACTTACCTTACAAGACAGGTCATAGGTCTCCAACATTGATGTCTGACGTGACGTCTGCCTACTGACATTAGAGCTGGATCCGTTTTGACTGGCAGCACCCAAACTCGTAGGAAACTTCTCCGTTCCCATGTCTGTTCAATTGTCCAGTAATTCTATTCAACATGTATGCTGTTCTTTGGTCACTAGCAGCTTTGAATAACTAAACACAGAGCTCTGTCCTTTATCTAAACCTCCCTTAATATACACTTATTAATTTTATGAATGACACTGTGCTATGTTGAGTAGAATATTAATATAACATTAAAAAATAAAAAGAAACGCAATTATCCGATGGTGCTTTTGTACTTAAAAAAAATTAACAAATGCATTGTTATCTGATGGTGCTTAAATACTATTAAAATAAAAAAAAAATAAAAATAAATTATTAGAAAACAAGGAAATTCTTGGTTATCCAATGGTGTGCTTCAGTACCCCCCCCCTCCCCCCCCCCCCCCCCCCCCCCCCCCCCCCCCCCCCCCCCCCCCCCCCCCCCCCCCCCCCAAAAAAAAAAAGAAATGCAAAGTTACCCAAAGGTGCTTTAGTAATAATTTTTTTTAAATGCATAGTTATCTGACATTGTGGTTTAGAACTTGAAAAAAATAAAAGGTTTTAATCAATCAATTGACAGTTCATTTGCATCTGGTCATCGATAGATTTTAGGAGTACAGGCTTTCCTGTCAAATAATTAAAAAATAGGCCATCGGATAACTATGTGATTTGGCAATTTTTGTTTGTTTTTGTACTGTAGATTATTTATGCAAAAATTACAACAACTGCAACTTCAACTTTGGCCACTACTAATTACAACTACCACTACTAACTACAACTGATTTTTACTACTGCATCTACAGTAGTAAGATGAACAGGGTGTGGCCCGACAAGAGTACTATGCAGGAAGCCAAGTAAAAAGAATAAAAAAACTCAAAATAGGTGTAAGCTGAACAGTTTGATGTGCAATGAAGTTGATCTGTTGTTGAACTAATTACTCTCCACTAATTACTGTTATTTCTGCATTTACTTCAAACTACTGTTAACTGCTAACATCTAGCTATTACTACTTCTTACTTCAAACTCCTACTATTACTACTTACTGCTAACATCTACTACTACTACTACTACTTACTAAATGCAATCTTTCTTTGTCAGTTGAGATGAGAAACAGAATTCTTGAAAGCTCAATAAATCTTATCTTGATACACGGAAGTGGATCATGGACAGTTGGCAGATTAGTGAATTGTTATTTGGAAGCTGCTAAGATGTGGTTTTATAGATGAGTGATGAGAATACCTTGGATAGATTAAAAAGAGTAATGAAGATGTCTTGAAAGAAACTGACTCACACACACAAAAACTGATTGCCCACACCAGAAAGAGACAGTCTACATTCTTTGGTCATGTGATGAGAAGGAAAACACTGGAGTACATCATGACAGTAGAAAAGTTGGAGGGGAGGAGAGGCAGAAGGAGACCAAGAGAAAAGATGCTGGACAGTCTGACATCATGGCATGGAAGATCATCTGTGTCAGCAAAGACTGTGGATCTGGCCTAAGGGAGCCACATTGAAAGAGAAGCTATGGGGGATCGGTGGCGACCTTAAACGCACAATCCTATTTCTGACCCAGACGGGACTCGTTTAGCATGACTGATGTTGAATGCAGAAGAAGAAGAAGAAGAGTTGACTGAAAGTAAATGAGACAGAAAGTTGTGGACAGACCTTACTACTAACGTCATATGGCATGGACTTTAAGAAGAAGTACTAAAAAGGAAGCTAAAGGTTTGAAAGGACTAAAGTGGCAGAAAATGGTGTAACAATTAATGAGACCTGTACAGTATGCTACTATAATTTACTAAAATTAATCACTTAACTCATTCAGTCCCAAACAACGCATCATGTGTGACTGTATTTACTCATATGCACCTGTCAGAATATTATTATGCTTGTACATTTTTTTGTTTGGACATGACACAGTAAAACGCCCAGCAACACACAAGACTCCTACAAGGATGGTTTATTTAGCTCCTGTGGAGGTAGTATGCCCATGAGTTTGCTGCTGCCATTAGTTACTGCCTCATGTGGGCATCAGATATGACTTTCTGGGACTGAAAGAGTTATGAAATTCACAATGTAACTATTCTTCTTCTGCCTTTCTAGCCCCTAATGGAGCATAGGCCCTCAACCAACTCATGCTAAGTCACTCTATCCTTTGCTATCACATGCAGCTCTCCCCATGTCCTCCCCATCTTTCTAACTTCACTTTCCAGCTCCCTTCTCCATGTGTTTTTGGCCATCTTTTCTTCATATGCCTCTGTGGGTTCCAGTGCAAAGACATTCTAGTTATATTGTTCTCCGGTTTTATCAATGTATGTCCTATTCAACACCAGTATCTTTTCTTCACCTCGTTGTCCACTGGAGTTTGCTTAGTTCTCTCCCAAAGCTCTACATTAGTGACTCTATCATACCATTTAATTTCCTCTATTCTGCACAGGCACCAGTTAATGAATGTCTGTAGTTTATTAGTAATTGCCTCAGTTGTTCTCCATGTTTCCACCCAATACAAAAGTACTGATCTGACATAGAATTAAAAATTTTAGGTTTAGTATTTCTTTTAATTTTTTTTATCTCCGCATATTCCCTAGTGCTATGAAAGCTCCTCTTGCCTTTTGTATTCTTATTTTAATATCTCTGTCAGTTCCTCAATCTTTATCTAGATTACTGCCCAAGTGGTGTAAGACTCCACGTCTTGGAAACCACATTACTATTTGCCTGATTTATCCTCCTTATCTTAGTCTTTCCTTTATGGATTTTTAGACCAAGCTGCTGTGATCTCGCATCAAGTATATTTAATTTATCTTGCATCTGATTCCGTGAATGGGACAGAAGAGACATATCATCAGCCAGGTCCAGATCATCAGGCTGTTTTGTAAGGGTCCACTGAATTCCATTTTTGGTGTTAGCAGTTACTGTCCTCATAATTCAGTCTATAGCCAGTAAAAATAGGAGAGGCGAAAAAAAGAGATCCATGTCGAATACCAGTTATTATTTCAAATGTATCTGTTAGCTTTCCCTCATGAAGAACTCGATATTTCATATTTCATACCTAAATAATCTAAATAGCTATTCCGTTGATGTGTTTAGGTTGACCCTAATGGCTTCTGCTTGGATATCATCTGGACCTGAAGCCTTTCCTTCTTTGAGAAGATTGATAGCTTTTCTAATTTCCTCTTTAGATGGTATCTCACAGTTGATATCCAGTTCCATTTCTAAAGGCTGGATATCTGGGGGAACCTCTGGGCCTGGTCTATTTAGAAGCATTTCAAAATATTCAACCCATCTGTCCATTTGATCTTTAGTGTTAGTAAGTACCTTTCCTTGACTATTTTTGATTGATCCAGTTGGCTGACTATATTTAGCTACTAATTTCTTGTGTTACTGTAAAGTTCTCTGAGGTTTCCCTTTGCTGCTGCTGTTTCCACTTCTTGTGCTAGATCATTTAAATATTTCACTTTATCTGCCCTTATACGCCTCCTGACTTCCTTATTGGCTTCTGCGTATTTATCCTAAGCTCTAGCTTCAGCAGCTCTAGTATGGCAATTGTTTAAGTCTGCCTCTTTACGTTTTCTTTCTTCAATCAATTTAATGGTTTCTGGTTTTATCCACACTTAATGTTTCCTTTCTTTCTTGCCAAGAACTTCTATACATGATTCATTCCAGATTCCCTTGATCTGATCCCAGCAGACTTCATTGCTTCAGCTAACTGCTGCAACACTGGTACTTATTAGAGACTGTTACTGAACATTGTTCCTTAACCTCTTTATCCCTGAGATAACCTACATTATACAGGTTTCTATGATTATTAAGATATGTACCTTTATGCATTTTTTAATGTAACTATTACACTTATTATTATACACGTGAAAATCCTAGATAACATGAAATAATGAGGATTATAAAAAGAAGAATATCTTTCAAATTGGGGATTTGGGAAAAGGGGGGGGGGGGGGGGGTGAATTAACTGTCCTAATTCCAACTTAAACCAACAAGGCTGAACATCATATAAATAATGAAATACTTATACTAATGTTAATAGGGAGCTGCCATTGTGTAGTGGCTAGAAGCTCATCTGTGGATCAGAAGGTCGTGGGTTGAAGTCAAGACGGAACTGGGCTTAAAAAAATGACCTTGACTCCCAGGTCGACGCAGCCTTAAATAGTTGCCAGGTGCATTCCTAGGAAGTAAAGGCGACCGGGGTGATGTTGACAAAATCACCCACCAAGTCCCGATCGGTCTATATAATATAGGTCTAGCCTTATATGTCCAATACATCTGAAGATGTGGAAAACAGTCTCATAAAAACAGTCATGTAAAATCTTGTCCGTTTAAATTAAATTTATAAGAGCAAGGAGTATGAACGCTGAAATAATAAATAAAGAACAGTTTTTGAGACCAATTATCCTGTTCTTGATAAAATAACTTCATACCTGACTACATATCAAGGTTAGTTGCGTATCCTTTTACAGGACGTTGCAGAACCAACCCCACCAGCCCCTCTAGGCAAATTTACATCCAGTAGTTTGCCACTGCTTCTGAACGGTTGACTCCCTGATACCACTGTTGAAGCCAACGCAAGGCGCATGGCCTGCAGCTGGGATCGAACCCGGCACCCCGGCATTATGAATCGTTTGCATCGACTTAGCCACAGAGCCGACACCTGACTATATATCAAAACTAAAACCAGAAAGACTGAATATTATATAAATAATTTTAAGTAATACAGTGAAAGTAAGTAACAAATTATGCCCTCAGGCACACTAGGCATATAGGGCTAGACCTATATTTTATGGTCCAGTCGGCACTCTGTGGGTGATGTAGTCAACAGCATGAATGAATGAATGAATTTCTACCCCACTAGGACATCACACAAGCGATAAACACCCGATGACACAAAGTGCCACCATGCGGATGAGGATCGCCCCAGTCCCAGAAAACCGCGTTACAGACATTTGGCATAATATGGCTGCCTATATTGCGGCCCCTGGCAAAAGCCAGAGTAGGGCTCCAAATGACAAAAAATTTCGTCCTAAAAAGGACGA